AATTTGTAGCTTGGGAAAATGAAACTGTCAAAAAGCTGATAGCTGTTGAACTCGGGCGTTAAAGAAACTGAGAAATCTACTCAGACTTGAAGAACTGCCTAGTTAGGCTGAGACTAAGTAGGTGGGTGTACGTAACGGTCCCCGCCCCTTGCTCCTTTCCCAAAGGCTGCTGTTGAGGGAATGCCGAAGCTGTGCAAAACCTTCAGCTTCAGAGAGGAGGAGGCGGTCATCACGCGAGCTCTTTCCCTCCCCCTTTCTGCCAACGTATCCGTGACCGTACGCCTACTCCGAAACAAGCTATGTTGATCGGAGGATCGGATCTCATCTGATTGTGAGTCACAAACATGTGGCTCACCACTCACTGACCTCTGGATAACATTCGGATAGGGATTTCCAGCGAAAACAGCGGCTAACTAAACAAAACAAATCAAAAACAAAAGAGAATGTGAACGGCTTCCTGGACGTCAACATCCTCTCGAAATTACCAGTTCCTGTAGAGCAGGTGATCAGCCAAAGTCGCACCGAGGGTTCTTCCTCCTCCTCGTAGTTGGTGTTGGGCATCCCAGGAGGAAGGTCAAAGGATCTCTTGAGCTATTGCAAGGCCAAAATGTGACCAGAATCACCTTTATCAAGGAAAACTTGTCAGAAAAGTCACTATGTGGTATGTGGGTGAAGTTGAGTATTTGGCTGGAATTGCTCGAATCCAAACCCGTTCACTCAGTCAAGCTTTGAAGACAATCAAACTCCATACTGTGTGGGGACGTTTTAGATTGGTGTCTTGCGCAACGGCTGGTCAACAGAGGTAATTGTATGGACGGAATAAACTCTCGGGAATCCATGTTGATCCCAAATTGAAGTCGTGTGCACGGCTTACCATGGGTAGATTGAATAGTACCATCCCAGTGCTGCTGCTCTCATAAAAGACTTCGTTCTGGGTAAGAGGAAACTCCACCAACAGGTGCTTCCCCAGGTACTTAATAATCACCTACACAAACATTTTCGAGGGGATGAAGAATAGGTTAACCTGCTTCGCTAGGTTTTCATGAACTGAGAAAAGAGGATTATTGGCATGGTGGTAAGGCACATCCTTAGCACTGTTCCAGACCGGAAGCCATCAAAAGCGACCAAGTCTTCCGGTGACTAGTAAACTGGCAACTGTCCAGATTGTGTGAATAGTATCGGCATCAGAAAAAGAAAATTTATGGATGAACATCCGGTTCGTACCTAAACGGCCGGGCTGATGACCATAGCCGGAATAGGTAGCTGCGACGCAACGCAGACATGACGACCTTAGCTGCCCTCCGCACTGGTTGAAGCTTCGTATTCCATAAATCCCTATGGACCCGGTCCCTTGCACAGCACCTTACCTACTGTTTCACACCCCTACCCAAAACGACCTGACCACCTTCTCAAGTCGAAGTACACCTTGAAATGAGCAGTTAGCATTCAATATTGATAATAGCTCAGACGCAGTCCGTAATGATTTCCCCTATGACCTGAGTACAACTTCGCGATGACCCTATCAGTAGCTAATCAGTAATTTTCGGTAGCTAAGCGTGTACCACTTTAACTGACACTTACTTACTAGTGGTCGGTCCTAACCTTTTCAGTTATTATGGTTCATCTGGACTTGTTAGGTTTGCTATTGCTCTTCGGGCTCAGTTTCAGAGGGTGAATTCTTCCTATGAGAGCTCATCTTGTTCTTTTCCAGGAAATACGGCCACGTTTCTATTACTATGGATGATTCTTCTCCCACTGAATGGTTTGGTCTATTGTAAAGGGAAGGCCTTCAAGAAAGGTTAGTTTTCAAAAGGAAATGATGCCGATTTCTTATGAGTACGTCCATTTCAGCGAACAAACGGAGTGAGGCCAAAGGGACTCCTGGTATGTGAGGTTTTTATTTTGTGGGAGCCATTTGGGACTAATCTACTGTATCGATTACTGAATGATGGTCTTTTTCAGAGAAACCGGATGAGGTGAGTTCGAAATACTGAGAGCGTTCGAATAACTGCTTTTATTGTAACAGTTGCAGTTTTTCCGTGGGTTATGGGTTATATTAGAGGGTACGGTTACTCGACGGTTCCAGAACATCATTGAAATTCTAGTGGGAGGGGTCCACTTCATGAAGCTCTGCGTTTCCATTGTTAATGGCTGGGGCGCTGGGATGGATGGGGTACAGGTTCTGAGGACTTACATAGAATGAGGGATAGAAGTGGAGGGAGCTTTCTGTCCAAGTCTAGGGAAGAAAGGAGCATCAGAGTGGGTGAGAATCCTTCCCGCTCCCTCTGATTATATTTCATTCGCTTCGAATTTTCCATTCGCTACAAATCACTTTAACGATCAACGAATCCGTGATGAACAGGTGCACTTAAGAAGGAGGAGCTATAGGTGTAAGGGAGGAAATCAAACTTCCATATTCTATTTCAGGAGGCTAAGGGAGAGGACAAGAATAAGGTCAAAGACAAAGATAAGGTAATATAGATAGAATGCTTTTCCCATTCTCTGGGATCGCTCTACTCACTATGTATTACTTCCTACTTGCAGTCCTCTGTTGCGTCTACGCAGGTGGAAACGAAACCAGGAGGAGAAAGTGAATCAAATAAAAAAGAGAACGATAAGGATAGAGAAAAGGAAAAAGAAAAAGAAAAAGAAAAAGAAAAGGAAAAAGAGAAAGAAAAGAAAAAAGAGAAGGATGGAAATGAGGAGAAAAAGAAAGGCGGAGGAGGAGAAGAAGGCGAAGGAGAGAAGGCGAGTTGGAATGATCTATCCGCCTACTTATGTTTGATATTCAAAAGCGTACGAATAGAATTTTCTTTTGAGTAAAGGACGATGAAGATCAAGAACGTGAGGAAAGAAGAAGACGCAGACAGGAAAAAATGGAAAAGATTAAAAAGGAACGCGAAGTCATCATCAAAGAAGCTATTGATAAAGGTATGAGAAGGTTCTGTTTTTCCTGAAATACCTATGTTCGAGAGCGCGTCCATGTGCCTCTACTGGAGAGCCCTCTTCCGTAGTTCACCACCTCAGAGGATGCACCACTGAAATCACGTTATCATCCAACATTCACCTTCTACAACCTTCTTCTCCAGGGAATAGGAGTAATTACCTCAGTCGGTGTTATTGGATAAACGGTGTCCAGGGTTAAAAGGCACAGTGTAACTTTTTCAAACTGTGCAAAAGTTTACACAAAAACAAAGTTCATCGGTGGCGAAGGAAACGAGAAAATTCTCTGAAAGCTGAATGATTAGGCTATCAGCCGACTGTATTTACAAATGTGCGCTCCATTTCGAATAGTGTCATACTCTAAATGACCACTAAAGACGTCTTTTTTTGGGAGTGGTTGAATGTGTAGCTAAGAAAAAACAAGTCAAGTCCAATGCAGTAATAAATATAAAAAGTAAATTTCATAGCAGACAGTGATGTCGTTTAGGAATTTGTCGACCAGCGGACGATAATGAGACAATTAATGAATGCCAGAGTGATTGGAATGGACCAGTTGGAAAGAAAAAAGACAAATAATACTAACCGGAAGATTATACTAATCTATTACAAGGAAAAACTGTGAATCAAGATAAATACATGTTCAAGTAATGGTTGTACGATCGTGATTGCTATGGCGGAGGAAGACACATTTTCACAAAAAACCTTTTTTGGCAGAAGAGGCGTCAATGGAGAGGTGGGCCGCTAAGACCATGCCGTGGGGCGAGACAACTAACCAGCAATCGTCAACGCCGTTAGGGTGGATAGGGACTTTGGCTGCAGCATAGGATGCTCGTAGTGGATTTAGAGAATGTAGTCACTCGTTCAGCATCCTATTAATAAGTCAAATAGGTGAATAAGCAAATAAATAAATAAATAAATACTAACTCTACCTACTCAATAGCGACTGCGAATGGTCCTGTACTATATATAAGAATGACGGATGAAAGTTTTCCAGAATACTTTCAGCTAAAATTCTTCTGAGGCCGAAATAATGTTCATAAGGAGTATAGAAGGATGAAATAACAGGGATGGTTTGAGAAAAAATCTGTGATGAGTCAGTGTTGTACCGTGAATCACGCCGGTCCAGTGCTGATTCTTCTGAATCATAGCTTGGAAGCTTACGAAATCGATGGACCACGAAAGATAAGTAAGCAACAAGATAGTAAGTCGATGACGCATGAGGATTCACAAAGGGCACAGGTTGACGAGCACACGGCTTAACCTGGTGGTGGGACAAGTATCACTCATATTTTGTCGTGATTTCATGTATTGGTTTATACTTACCTATTACGCTCAAGGTCGCACCCACCCGATGATATATGGTCAGGAAATGAGCAGATGTGAAACCAAGGCAAAAGTGAAGATTAAAAAGGTAAAATCCAATTAACTGGTAGGCAAAAATTCAAGTCCTCTAAAAAAACAAAAAACAAACCATAGAAAAGGGCGAGGAAAAAAAAGATAACTTGATAAAGTGGTGTGGTATTTGAGGAGTCTCTGAAACTTCTGCAGCTGGAAAATTTTAAAGTTACTCGATTTTTTCTGTTAAAAGCTTCATATTCATTTTTTCCCTTTTTTCGTAGTTTTCCTTCCCACCGAAAGGGGCTCTTTTCGAAGTAGGTTCGTTCGAGACAATGTATCGGAGCTGATAAGACGAAGCATAAAACTTGTCGACAAGCGCCTGCCGTCGTCAGCGTCCCTTCGAAATGCATCTCATCGAATTCCCAGTAGGTTTTTCAGACTATTTCTTGAATTTTCTATAAAATCGCAGAAAAGTTGGATAATAATGGGTTCATAGCGTAGTAATGAAGTACTCGTCAGGATCAAGTGTAATTGAAGGTTTTCATTTTTAACTCTGGCTCCCATATACGGGGCAGCACTCAAACACTTTTGAGTGAACAATTTCATTTTTCTAGGAATTACACCGGAAGGTTTTAGGCTATAAAATATGATAATAGACTGTATTGAGGTATAACTAGCATCAAAATAGTATTGGGACAATGTAATGACTACATATACTTGAAACATCGGTATATTCCCTGACTAAAGTGATAAAGTGTGAAACGTTCAGGCAATTCCATGCACTACACCTATCTATGGCGGTTTCAATCATGATGGTGTCGTCGACATTCATGGTCAGCTCATGCAAGGGCCACAAAAGTAAGTCAACAGTTCATAAAACTCTTCACTTTACCACTATGCTTAAGTAGTGGCCATTAATTTTTTAGCTTCCAATTTTTATGACATCCCAACCTTATCAGTATCTTGCTTTATCAGAAGGAGGCACAAGTGCCCTGTAAATAATCAATAAATAAGTATACAATTGAATGGATAGTAACTCCTATTAACCCCTACTTTTTGCTTTCCTTTGACCTAGTTCTCTTTCAAGAGGAGAGATACCCAGTAGGGGATGGTGTTCCCCCTACCGAGAATACTGGTGGCAGGTTTGGTAGAGCTAAACTGAGCATTTGAGACGACTTGGTATTCTGCATGACCACCGTAGCATCTCTTGAGTATTTTTTGATACCTACAGTGGTTTCGTCGTCGAATTTCCATCCCGAGATGGTATTGCGCTGCATATGTCAGTACGTATGGGAATGCATGGAGGAGATCACTGTATCGTCCTGAACAACTTGAGAGCTGGAGCGTGAGTTGCCAGAATTCATAGCGAAAGACCGGCCAACCTCTGAGTTTATATAATTTCTAGATGGCAAATCGAAGAACGTCATCAGAATGTGTTCCACTTCGGACAACGATTCCATCTACAAATTAAATGCCACCAGAGTCATTATACGGTATTTATGCACTTATTCATTTAGACATGTAATATAATCAACTTTTTATAAGCATAAACGCCATAAAAAGCACCGGAATCGATGACAATATTAAAGCCCTTCCTTTGCCTTATCTAGATAACTTATAGGAAATTCCACACATGAGAAACACACTTTCATCCTGGTAGAAATGATTTCATCATTCACGGTAGCGTCAGTGGACGTGACTTGTGAGTTGGGTGGGCCAAACAACGAAAATTACCGTCTGAATCCGAATTTCTAAATATCGGGGCCTTTCCGCGTGACATAGGCTCAGCGAGGGAGCTCCCCACCCACTGATTGTAGGGATGCCGGCCAACAGTGAAAATCGATTCTCTAAGATATGTTTTTGGTTATTCATGGTTTTCTTGATATATAATAGCTATCATGACTATTTTTAGTTCCACGTGAATGGCCAGCACGTCGCTCACTTCTATCATCGCGAAGATCCTCATCATGTAACAGCCCTCAATGTCAGAGGAGACCTTGAAGTGAGCAAAATTCATTTCGAACATTTTATCGGAATGAATGGAGGAGGTACGGTATGGTATTGGCCTAGAATCTGCTGATAGAAACAAAATTTGGCTCAATTTCAGGTGTGCAAATAGGTTCAGGTGTTGTCGTGGCTCAGGTGCCACCTCCTCCAGCGCCTGTCGTTGTAGTAGCACCAAGACCCGCTCCTGTCGTTGAGGTTGTGATGCCTCCACGTCGACCAATCGTCGAAGTTGTTGTGCCACCTAGACGTCCTATCATTGCACCGGTCGGTATTTTTTAATGAAAAAATGTTAAAAAAAAAACACGAAAACGGAGTTTCGAAATAATTTATTTTTTTTTATTACAACATTGATTTTTATTACGACTGAGTTTTTTATTATTCATTTAAGGTGGTGGTATTGAACACTGGAAATCGTAATCGTCGCCATCACTAGCTAGCCCATCGATGCATGGCTTCTCCTCCGATCGATACCTATCCATTGTGTGTGGGAATAAAGTTTTCTCTGCTGTTGCAAATGATTTTCTAGAATATCTGGTTATATAAAGTCGTATTCTACTCGAGGATAACAACGACTAGAATTTTGCCGGATTATTCTGCGGAAAGGACCTCATCGATGTCGATATGGTGACGGAACCCTGAAATTCAAGAATTATTCAAAAAGCTCTTTAAATTTTTACAAACCAATGGAGAAAATAGAGTAAGAAAAAGAGAAGTCGCAAAGTTCCAAAAAAATCACTTTTGGCTCAAGAATTTTTTTATGCCAATGTTCTCCGACACAAAAGGTATTGGCCAGCTCAATGATCACCTTTCGTTGTGTAGATTTACATAAAAGCAGAAGAAATATCTTCCGTCTGATATCTTCATTGAGTAGTAATGTCATCCATGCATTTATGTACGAAAAAAAGCAGCTCAGTATGGGAAAAATCGTCCTCACAGCGATAGTTGTCCCTTCCTGAAAAGTGCTGCCTTCCGGTGTGATCAGATAGCTATTGAAAAGGATTTTTTCGAAAGAAAACGACGGAAATGCCACTGTGAAGACGCCATAGAGCGTCCAACACCTCGAACAAACCCCGCCCACTTCACATACTACGCCCTCGGTTGATTGGAATAATAAGGCAGTCACTCCTATCGTATAAAGCTCCCATGGAATGCGAGTGAACAGCAAGGAGGGAGAAATCATTAGAAACAGTTAGTGGACATTTTGCTGGGCAAAAAAAAGGAGGGGGGGGGGGGGGGGGGGGNGGCAGGAGGGCAACTAACAATGAGTAAAAATCTTTTGGGATTTGAATGATATGTTCACTAAACAATATCATCAGAACATGATATTCAGCGAATTCCCTACAGTTGAGGCATTTGGCCGAGTTTTCTCATAAGTAAGCTGAAGTTTCTGATCTGAAGGCTGAACCCACGCCTTAAAATGCCTTACTATCAGGTTGAGATCAGTAATTCACACATTTCTGAGAAATCGTGAGCACTACCCATATCGAGAATTACTCACATTGGAATAAAGTGAGAAGGCGAACTGTAAGATGTTGAAAATGAAGAACAACATAAATCCAATGAACAATCCTAACATTTGCACATGAAGACGAGTTTCTCGTTTTACAGCTCTGAAAAACAGTCATCAGAAGCAGTTACAATAAAGCAAGGGGCGAGCTGAGGAACTGACGTGCTGGTACTGTAGCGATTCTTGACTAGAAATCTCAGAATAGCTCCATAACACAGACTACACATGATGAAGGTCGTCGACACGAAAAACGCTGCCATCGATGTACCAAGCTGAAAAGAACCGGCTTTACTCTCTCCTTTACCATACCACAACTTTTTACTCCATTTCCACCTAGGGAGCCCAGACACATGATAGTTATGGCCCCAAGTGGTTCCAATCTCGAAATCGATTGGTGCAAGGGACCCATTTGCTCTACATTTCTGGCTTTTGCTCATTTTTTCGCCTTTGGTGAGCGATTGGGTCCATCCTCTCCCATCTTGAGCGCCATCCTCCACTCGTAAGTGGGAAGGGAGGCTCATACGGCGGTCTTTCTTGATATCTTATTGTTAGTAACTTTACAAAATTGTCTTACTCACTGTTATATCTTCTTGATCTGCTATCAGTTCAAGTTTTTCTTCTGATTTGAATACAGCATCGCTAAGGATGAAAAGTGGAAGTGAATAGAGTAATGGTACTGACCAATGTAGTATCGGTAGTATCCATCTATGGGAGTTATTGATGATCTAAATATGATTTTGGAAGAGAATTAAAATATAATTAAAATTTTCTCTTGAGCCACCTGTTCAATCGGTCGACCATGTTTACACATAGTAATGTAACGTTGGAATGAGATCAGTAATACGCCAAAACATCGTAAAAATATCGAAATGTACAGTTGATTGAAAGTCCATGCAGCCAGATAATGATGTTGAAATTTCCAATAAAAACTATTAAATAGTTCTGATTGACGTAGTACACCGAAGAAAGAGTAGCTCAACATCACCGAGATATCCACAATACCCTGAAAGAGAAGCGTAGACGCGCGTTTTTGGGATTTTCAATGTCATTTGTTTGGCTGTTTACATTAATAGCCCCATGAAAGACTGGCATGTACGGCATAGATTGAATTTTTTTTCATACTCCCTGGAAGTACTTCGGCTGGCCTAACTTTTATAATTAGACTTCAGTTCGTTGCTTGTGTAGATACACCTGTTTCTTGAACACTTTTTTGTTTTTTTTATTTGTTTTGAGCTCTCAGAGGGTGGGGAGGTGCTTATTTCATATTGTTGTCATTAAGACTTTATTTTGGTTTCGCCAGAAAACAAACAAATGATACAAATGAATTTCTATCCAAGTAGGACGAAACGGCATTGACTTATCAATTCTCTGCTAACTAGGAAAGGGAGGACGGCCGATGGGATTACGGTTGATGTGGACGAGTTATCAGCTACCTTGAGTACCTTTAGTAGCTTTTTGTGCTCAAGCTGAATGCCCATAAATGTAAATATCAAGGGTAAATTGATGGAAAACACGAGTAAAACGGTCTAATCAAAAATATTTTTTCAGACTGGTAAACACTGTGATGACAGATTCACAGGTCCTCTTACAGTAACCGAATATGTCTACCGTATTCCTTACAATCAATATGCGTTTCTTGAACCCTCTGCAAAAAATTCAGAGGAGCGATTTCATATTTATAACATATACAATAGTTCGAAAATCGTTTTTTTGTTTTCACTCTGATTGAATTTAGAAAAACTTGCATTTTAGGGTAACTCCATACCTGAGATATGAGTAAGAGATAGAAGGTCCTTTGCAGACGATTATACTTCCATTCTTTGATACATACAATAATAATTAGTATATATAGCGGTAACGAAACTACATTGACGACTACAAATATCCATTGAGGCCAGGTTAGAACCATCTTTTACTTTTGATAGAGCGTGTAGATAAGGAACGTTTATCAGCAACGAACCTGTTGAATAAGTGGCACAAAACAAATCTGAAAAGGTAGATATTTGAAAATTAAAAACAAACGAATACAGATAAATCACTCGGTAATAACTGAAAATACAGCATTGTTTATGGCTTGAGCTCGTCGAATACTGTTGATGACGGAAATGATTGTTTTCCTTTCAAGTAACAAACGGAAATTCATTAGAAAACCGGAAGTAAACAAAAAGAGTTGGCGTATTTGTTTCATGGAAATTTTCTCATATCTGAAAAATATTAATTACCATAAGGGAGTTCAGGGAAACATAAAATGTGGAAGGAGGAACTGTGAGCGAACGAGGATAAGACCTGAACGACCTACCCCATGCCTACCAAGGTGTGTCCTCTAGTGGCAGCGGTAAAAGGCGGTGCAGGTGACGACATTGAGGTAGGCCTTGGGTTATAGTGTGTTTCGATCATCTTGGCTTCGGTACCGAATACTGGGGTTTGCCTCACAGGGGTCAGTACCACATGGAAGCCATTCAGTACGTTATGAGCTCGTTTAAGATGTTTGGACCCGAATGGGAGTTAAACCATCACCTAGCCCTCCATACACCACATTGGGGATAGGGCGAGGACGGAGGTCAATTACGCTACCATACTCCCATGCCTTCCCAATTGGAAAAAGTCAAGCAGAACAGCAATACCTATCCACCCAACTAAGCGACATCGAAACCAATGGAGGTGGCATATTTAGGGGGAACTCAGTATTGTAATAATGAAAACAACAAAAGAGTAGATTTATCTGATTATAACCCTACTAATGCCGCTTCAGACGTTTAACAACGTTACTCTACATAGGAAGGGCAGGCATATGTACTTTGGAGAATTTCATTTCCCATTCTAATATTCCTGTCTATTCGGTTAGCAGAAATTGTTATAAATAATAGGGCAAAAGTGGATAGGAGACATTAAAAAAAACTTTTCTCACTATGACGTTAGCAACGTATTTTATTAGTTGCTGCATATTTAAAGAGGGCACCAGTGAAAAACAAAGTTTATGCTTTCCTCCTTTTTGTTGTTTAATATGAAGGCAAAGCAATTACCGTAATCTGAATGTTTTCGGAATGCGCCACGCCATTGACAACATCCTCGTGTACCAAAACATATCAATCTTCATATACATATGTATGTTTATAAAGCCTAATTTCCTGCTATTTCCTATTCTTAAAAGACTGGGAGCCCCACACAAACTTGACCTTCATCTCTATCAATCCCGAATGGCATTGGATCATTTCGGTGCAGTTATACACCAGTATCCGTATGGATCTTGCCATTGGTGATAGCTCTGCTAATGGACCAAGGTATCATAGCAAACACCTGGACCAAAATTGCTTCCCACACGACTTCTGCCTGAGCGGAAAAGTTGGAAACAGCACTCACAGGGATGCTTTTATTAGTTTACCAGTCGGATCGCCCGGCTAACGCCAGGCTCTCCTCCTTCTTTTGTCAAACACCCTATCCCGAGAAATGTTGAACTGAAAAATTTTATTCCTTTTTTCAACGTTTATAGTCTTTGAGGTTTTTTCCGTGTTTAGCTG